AACTACAGTTCATTGATTTGAATTTATGAAAACTTCATTTTTCAATTAATTCCATTCTTATGACTTGAATTTACATTCATACACATTACATTTGTATTCTGAAACTTCCTATATTGTATTAATATAAATAATTTAATGTTCAATAATTGTTATTTAATTAAAAGTTCTTATTCTTCATATATCAGTCAAACATTTCAAATATTAAAACTTTTCAAACATGTTCAGTTTTTCAATATATCAATAGAAATATCTCTAAGAACAATAATAATTTGCATAAGTAATATATGTATATTGCATATGAATCAATAAAGATATAATCATATCATTATATAATAAATATATAATTGAAAAATATTTATTTTTTAACATTCATTAATTTTTTCTCAAAATTATTAACAAATTTATATTAAAATTATATTAATTTTAATTATGTAATAAAATAAAATTATACCTTCATCATGTGGTTAGCATCATGGAACTTTAAATTTCCTGCCTTTTCTTTTAAAGTCTTAAATTTTATTTGAGTTAATAACTTCTCATCAATTAATAATTGTAAAGTAAACATTAAAAACTCATTTATAAGTTCAAAAGAACATTCTCCTAAAATAATAAAAAATAAACATCTAGATTAAAAATACATTTTATAATCTAAAATTATTACGTACCAAGTGCTTCTGTAGCAATTTGGCGTAGTTTATTAAGATGAAATAAAACATTTTTAGGAACACATTTACATAAATCTTGCCAATTGAATTCACTGCAATATATGTAATTATAAACATTAATTACACAATATTATAATATGTATAATAAACTATAAGTAAATAGATTAAATACAATATATTATGAATAATTTAATAATATAAAATATATTAAAAAATTGTTATTCTATAATTAGGAATAATATTTTTGCTTCATAAAAGAATTTAAAATTTATACCTTTTAAATTTGCTATGTTGCTCTTTTTCTTTTCTAAATAAATCATTTGGTTCTAGTTCCTTTGTACTTTTTATACGTCCAAGATTCGTGAACATTCGTAACGATCTTGTAATTCGAGGTAATTCTGGCATTTTTCATTAATAAGTTCACCACACTATGTTTTACCTATAACATATATTTATAATTCATATTTTAAAAAAAATATATATTTATTATAAATCTTTTTCTTTAATAAAAAAAAATTTTTTATAGAAAAATATAATCATAATTAAATTCATTTTATTTATTAAAAAAATTATTTTTTGTAATAATAATATAATTGGTTACCACATTAATTAAATTTCAAAAGCAATTGTAAATATTCATTTATTTACTATTAAAAATTGACAATCGTATATTAAAAATTAAAAGTTAAGATTAAAAAATTATTTAATTTTTTTAATATAATTTCAATTTTATTAAAATTTAATAAATATATTTAGTTACTTAATTTTTTTAATTTCAAATTTTTTTTAATATATTTTCAATTTCACTAAAATATAATAAATATAAAAAAAATTAATGTATTTTAGAAGTTATATATATTTATAATAATAAAAAAACTACACTTTGAAATTGATTATTTATCTTATCTTTTTGAATGTTATATTTAATAAAAATTTTCATTAAAATTTCATATTAAATATTATACAATATAATATAATATTAACTTTTATTAACAATTGTCAATATCTATGCATTACTTACTTGCATTACTTGCATTACTTTTCACCACGACGTGACGCTTAGCTTTGGCAAAAGCTTGGTCACGTGATATATCTCTGCACTAATGTAGCAGTAGTAGTAGGGATAATATAGCATCATGTATTCTGCTCCTGCAGAAATTCGCTTCAGCGAATTTTAATAGAGGGGGTAGCATATTGTTCTCATTTGATAACTATTTTTCACATTTATCAAAGCTTTTTTAAAATTATTTTTTATAAAGTATTTAAAAATTTTTTAATCAAATTATATTCACATAGAATTTATTATTAATATTATATTCTATGAAAAAAAATTATATAAGTTAAAAATAATATAATATAAGTTAAATATAAGAATATAATTAAAATATAGTTAAAAATAAAATATTTTATATATTTTAATATTGTATCATAATTTGTATTTTTAAATATTATTTTATATATA